CGGGCGCATGCCGGGGGTGGGGGCGGCTAAAGGGATTCGTGGCGGTGCATCTTCTACCATAATAAATTCTTTTTAAAACTTAAACATTCGCTGAATATTGTCATCAACCCATCTAGATAGACAGGGAACAAAACACAGGCTATGAAGGGTTTGGTTTCATTCTGGACTTCAGGGCTGGGTCTTAAGAGCGTATTTCCAGCAGATGAGGGGTGATCATCATATTTACTACCCATTCCCCATTTTCTGGCAAGCTCTTGCCCAGAACACCGCCCGGCAGGCATTCGGGAGTGTTTGCTGAATGAATCAACGGAAGGACAGAACTCATTCCACTGCTGCCTCACTGAGTCCCTAACCCTCAGGACTAACCCCAAACCAGGCAATTTGGAGGGGCCCAAGAGGGTCAGCACCATTTAACCCCGAGCACTCTGGACTAACCACTGGCTTCTTTCTTCAGCCTTTGAAAAGTCCGTTCCCCCGGCCAGGAACTGAAACTTCAACTTCTCTCTGGGCCTCAGTACCGCGGTCAAGTCGGATGGGTTGGGGCCTCTGCAGGTCCCCATCGCCCCGTATTGTGCCATCCGCATAGCCCTGGCCCCTGCTCATTCCTCTCTCTCTTTCTCCACAAGGCAGCAGCAACAGTCCTCTGTGTGGCTACCTTGTTCCGAGCACTTACTATGTGCTAAGCACTGTGCTTAGCGTCACCTCCTCTCTACAAGCTGGGCTAGGTCCACTGGCGCCCGGGTCCCAAGCCCGGCACCCGCTTCTCCTCGTGCCCTCGGCAGCTCTTTATGCAGTAAACACAGTGAGTGAGAGCCACACGCAGGGCGCACGCCTGTCATCCCAGTACTCGGGAGGCTGAGGCAGGAGGGTCGCTATGAGTCTGAGGCCAGCCTGAGCTACCCAGCGAGACTCTGTGTCAAAAAACCAAAACCAATCAAAGAAACAAACTTTGGCCAGACCAGGGGTGCAGTCTGCACTGAGGGGCCCCGCACAGTCCCCCTGATTTCGCGGCAGAAGGAGGTCATTTTATGACCTTTGACGAAAACGATTCAGAGGGTCTGGTGGATCCCAGAGAATCAACGTGGGGGGAGGCCGGGTCACAGGCGAGTCTGGCCGGTG